TATATAATTCTATAAGATATTTTGTAGAATTGATCGATATAACATACAAATAATATTCTCATTGTTTGAGTCTAGAAGATTAACAATAAAGACAAAGAAATTTAAGAAATAAAAATAACAAAAATTAAAAAAAATTATTAAATAAATAATTATTTTTCCTTCCTTGCACTTACACCGGTGGTGGATGAGGTGTAAAAATAATTTGCGGACGTGGCGGGGCCCATTCGACGGTTCCTCTCAACGGAATCGTTCGCGTGTCTTCGACCTCAATCTCATCGGGACTGACCGGCCAGCTCTTTGGCATCGGTAGTAACCGTTGTGGGGCATCCTTCTCCGAGACCAGCCATTGCAACTCGCTTGCCCTTGGCAACTGCTTCTCGCTGAAGCGACTGATGAGAGAGAGAGCCACTCCTTCAGCGGACATGCTGCTCTCGCTTATCTTGACGTCCGTAATCCTTGTTGCTCGCAATTCTGCATCCGACGGAAACAACGACGCGGACCTGCCGCCGTTCCTCAACCTTCGCTCGTCGTCCAACTCGGAGTCCTCCGTGAAGGATTCGCTATCTGAAGGGCTACTCGAGGACGTGGACAACGGGCTGACGCTTTGATCGGTGGTCGTGGTCGTGTCGGTCCTACCGTCGCTCAACAGATCGCCGCGGCTCCAGCCTCTACTACGACATTTTTCCACCTGGCGTTGACGGCGTCGCAGCCGGATGCGCTGTTTCAATCGGTTGATTTCCTCGTCACTCTCGTCATCGACCGCGTCGTCCAGCAGACGCCGCTGCAATCGATTGCATTTGACCTGCTCGATAGCAGCGATCATTGCCTCGCAGACGCTGAAGTGCGCATTTTCGCGATCTAACTCAGCGTCGTGGGCGCGCGAGAATCGCACCGAAGCTAAAAAGCTAGTCAGACTCTGTCCCTCGACCGGACGCGGAAAGTAACCGGTCGACATTGGCTGCACGCTGCTACCACCATCCTCCATGAAACTCTTTCGAGGGGTACGAATGTCCTTTTGACCTTCTACTTCCATACTCCACGAACCCGTGAATTCAGGGGCCGAACCCACCAAGAAGGATGTTTTCTTACGCGTCGTCCATTGGTCCAGCATCTTTAAATTCATCTCCACCGATTCCGTGATCGCAATCGGCCGCGTTTCCTCAACAATATTCTTGGTATTCTCGTGAACGCTCGAGAAAATCTCCGGATTTTCGGAGACCTTTTTATTCTGACTATGTCTAGTTTTCGTTCGATTTCTCATCTTTCTGATTGATGTCTTGGGCTTCGCTACAAGCTTATCCGTATTGGAATCAACGGGTTGTTTCGAATCCGAATAATTGATATTGATGATTTCCGCTAATTCAATAGTACGAGGACGACCATTACTAACAATGTTATTGCTGTTTTCTTGTATCGTTGGCGAAATGATGTCTGAATTTTGATTCTTGACCAAAACAGGTAGACTGTTCCACGTTTTTAGAGGCATATCGTCGATCTTGGAATCCTTTTGTGCATCTTTATCAGTAATAACGTGTGTGGATTTTGACATTTGACTTTCAGCACCGTCTGTATCATGCGGCACAGACTGCGTTGACAGTTTTAACTGATCCAATTGACATTTAGTAAGAACGCTTATGCTCTTCTCTAGCCCAAAGAGGCGATTAGCACCAGAAAAATTTACTGGATACGAAGATGAGCGACGATGCCGTTTGGGGCTTGCTTTAGGAGATATCCATGATGGCAAAAACTGTAAAAATATACAAAAAGAATAAATTAATTTATTAAAACTTATATCCTTATATTGTATTTAAATTAAGCAAATTTCCAAAGTTCACAATTTGATGATTATCAATTTTGCGAAGATTAAATTCTAAAATTTTTTATTTTAATACAGAAAAATTAATCAAGAGTCAAAGAAAATTCATAACTATGTATCATTTTTACATGTAAAATTTATTATTTTTATTATGCAGAACAAAAAACTATCGTCATAATACTACTTACTAAGCAAGGATCAATTTCTGCAAGCAGCTCGGGCTGATTCCTCTCAACTGCTCTTAAATACAAAAGCGTCGCTTCCGCCAAGTTCTCTTGACAAAGAAATGCCCACGATTCCAGACAAGAAAGCAAATGTTCCTTATCTGAGAGAAGCCATGATAGCTTATGTGATAGAGAATGGCCCTCTAAACTATAAAATATCAAGTGACTTTAGTTGTCTATTATGATAAGAAAACTTCTTTAGATATAAACGCATTCAAAAATATATTGTAATATATTGTATAAATATATTGTGTATTATAAAATAAATTACATCATATTTACTAAAATATATTTACTAAAATTTTACCTTTTGTATAACCATAACATATCCTTCTTGGATGTTATTCTAGCTGGTAAGTTGCACAAATAATCCTCGTTCTCTGACAATATTGGTGATGTTGCTAAGGATGGTTGAAGCCAATTCAATCCTTGAATGAATATCCAACAGTCTGGCTCACCCTTGTAAAATTTTTTACAACATAAGATTTATATGGCAAAATTCTTCTTTCAGAGAATGCAATACAAATTTTATCTACAGTTATCGTAACCTCTTTTATTATCCTTGTAAATTAAAATCTGATTCTTTAATCCTCTATAATTCCAATTTTTGTGCTTGAAAAAATTTATATATAACTAGTAATATATAATAGTAATATATAACTAGTAAATATTATTTTTGAAATATAATTTATAATTAATTCTCAATTTTTTCTCAATATATTTTATTATAAAAACCAAATTCTTGACATATGGGACAGGCCATACAAAGCATTACAAGAGCTATTTTCTTGAAATTTATTAGAGAGCGACAAAGAAATTTTTTCTAAATTTTTAGGATTCATTGAGATCTCATATAATATATAAGACCAGATTTTTTAGCCAAATGTCAAATTTTCAAAGAACTAATCGTTCATTTTTTAAACTTCATATTTTTTGATATATTGATATTTTGATTCTCTAAAAAAATTATTGTAAAGTCATATTTAAAAATTATTGGTTTAAAAGTTATTTTATATTTTATTCTAATATATTTTGACATTTATTATGAAATATCTCATAAAAAAATAAACATAAAATATCTCATATAAGTATTTTCATTATAGAGAATTAACAACTAATATGCTTAAAATTAATTAGCAATATCAACAATTAACAACAGATATAATTTATAAAAAGTTGATTTAATAATAATAAATCGAAGACAGTATTTTCAATGAAAACTTCAAAAAAGGGTGACAAACTCAACTAACATTGGGATCAAATATGCGACAACCATGCTTGAATATCCTCTCCATCACATTGTGTAGTCGGTTCAGGCCACCATAAACGTTCCATACATTGGGTATCCCATCAACTAACAGACCCTCCACAGTAGATCGAAGACTGCAGAGAAGCTGCCACTGCTCCTTGCTATGAATATTTTCCGACATCCCTACTGATTGCAAAAAACCAATCAATATTTTTCATCTATCTTCTACATATAATTTTTTTAAAATTCTCACCTGATCGTGATCATTTATGATCGAAGAGCAAGGAAAAAAGCAACTCTCTTTCAAGGACACAGCCTCTAGGCACACGGATGTCAATGAAGTTCTGCTTCTTACTCCTCTGTTTTGCGAGAAACGTGATTTTTGTTAACGAATAAATACATCATCTTGATTGCGCGATAAAAAACTCAGAACAGAATGATCGACACTGTCAGGCCGTTCGATTTCGCTTCAAGTGAAAAGCGAAAGGTGCTGTTAGCTCCTATCACGAGAGTGATCGCTCTGTCATGTTCACTTTCGCAGTGCGTTTCCAACTCGCATGCACTTCGATGCTACAGTGAATTACGCATTTCCGTGCGACAGTTGCCTTCGTCGACGTAATTCGACGACGACGACGCGCAACGAGCCAGCAACGATCGGGCAACTCCCGCCGTATTTGATCACGAATAATCCCGATCCCGAGCCCGGATGAGCCATCGCGCGGTCCAGAAACGTCGTTTACGCTCGTAACTACAGGTAACTATAGGCAACTATACGTAACTATATATTTGGGTTAAGTCACGGAAAGTTCATTGCCTTTAGACAGTAGATTCGATGATGAGTCTCGAATCGCAACTGCAACTCAGTCGGGTCGGTAACTGTGTTATCGATGTAAATAATAATAATAATAATAATAATAATAAAAACGTAATTTTAAATGAAGATTAAATATTACGTAATAGATATATGTATTACAGAAATTAAGAAATTAAGAAACAATAAATTAAGAAATTAATATTATATTATGGACACACAGTAACTCAGTAGTCTCCATGAGTCCATTGACATAGATGATAAACAAAAAAAAAAAAGAAAAATATAATTTTAAATAAAAATTATCAAATATCAGTTAATATAAATCAGTTATTAAGCAATAAGTGTATATAGTTAACTGTCTAAATTCGGAGTTATGTAAACTATATTAAATTTTTTTTCAAGAGTGTCGTTTTTAGCAGTGCTTTATCGATGCCAAAAAAAATATTATCATCTTTCATATTATTGACCTTTTCTCCCGGATTAAGCTATATATAAACAGAAACATTTTTTACAAGAAATATTTTGATTAAAAAATTTTATTGTTTTATAAAAAGAATATAATGTAATATGTAACCTATTTTTTGTAACATTCATTTTCTATAAAATATTAAATGTTCAATTTTCATCTATTTTTTTCAAGGAATTTTAAATCTTTTTCACGTAATTTGTTTTATTCTATATATATATATATATAG